GCGCCGCAAGGTGGAGGATTAGCCTAGTGAGCCACGGGGCCGGCCTTTAGTGATGATTTTTAATCTCTTCTCCTACCTGATGATTAATATTGCTTGGTTATCTCATGAGATTCCTAGGAAATGGGCTTAAGACAATTCTATTTCTTTTGGAACCATTCCTCTCAGAGATCTTTAGAAAGAGCTCCCAAACAGGAAATGTTAGAGAAGTCTTGATTCTAAGTCAGCTTCAAAGGCCTCCCAGTTTCCTTTAATTCAAAGAGTTCAGCATCCCAAAGCACCATACTTGGGTGTATCTTTTTTTGAGCCCCAACACAGGTAATTAGGTTCACCTACACCAGGTGGTGGTAGTAACTCATAAATTGCATAAACCGTAAAAGGCATATTGTTCCTTTTTCTGATTGCCAGTGTCTTCAGTGTACACATCTGGTGTACCCCCACCAGGACAACCGTGAATCTGAATAAACAGAACTTACAGAAGGAGATGTCTGTGCTTCATGCACTTGCCTTTCTTTTTTAATGTCCAACTTTAGTACTATGGTTCAAATATGATTTGTATTCAAATTCTAGGAACTCATGCTGGAGTTTAATCCCCAAAGTTTTATGTTAATATAATTAGGGGACTAGGAACCCAATCCAACTATGGTGTCTAAGGCTGAGTCCTTTTGAAAGTGATTAAATTAGGTCATTAGGGTGGAGCCCCATGATTGAATCCTGGTGGCTTTGTAAAGAGGAAGAGAGAGACAACACAAACATAAACACATGGATCCCCTGACTCTCTCCCTGAGATGCTCTGTATCACCTTGGGACTCTGCCAGCAAGAACGCCATTCCAGATGAGGCCCCTAGATATTGCAACTCCAGAAGCAGGAGCCAAAATAAACTGCTTTTCTTTATAAAGTTAGCCTGGCTTCATATTTTGTTACAGTAACAGAAATCTGTCTAATATAGTTAGGGATGAGAAGGTTCAAACTGAACATCACTGACAGGAAGCACAAGTGACGGCATATCACCAATACCTCTCACAGTGTGGGTTTCAGTGCAGTAAAGCTTAAGGAAAGCAGAGATTAGCAGAGGCCAGGGTGAGAAAACAAAGAGGAGGGCAGTCTGTTCACAAAGGAATAATCTACTCATAACTCAAACAGATCATGATACACATCACCACAAATGGATTTCAGTACGCTCATTTCTCATGGACAAATATCTGCTATTTCCAATTCCACTCACTAAGCGAAAAACCCACTTATCTCCAGAAATCACACCTGGGCTGAGAACAAGCAAATAAGAGATACTGTGATTGTTTCTTCTGGATCAGGTAACCAAGAGGACAAAAGGTAGCTGAACCCTGCTTTACAGTTCCGTCTGCTTTCTTTCTTCTATCAACTGACAACTCAAGCTACTTTTCAACAACAGATCTATTTATTTATTTATTTATTTTGTAAATTTGTCAGTACATAAAGAGAGAGCTCTTCCATCTACTGGTTCACTCTCAAAATGCCTGCGATGGTTGGGGCTGGGCCAGGATAGAGCTGGGAGCCAGGAACTCAATCCAGATCTCTTATATGTCTGGCTAGGACGCAATTACTTGAGCTATCACCTGCTGCCTCCCAGGTCTACACTGATGGGAAGCTGGAACTGGGAGTCAGAGACAGTAATCAAATCAAATCCAGGAACTTTGATAGGGGACATGAGTGTTTTAACTACTAGGCCAGATGCCTGTCCCCAGTGCCAACCTTGAAGGGCTTGGAATTACAGATACTGCCCTTGATGTCACAGCCACTAGACCATTATTAAAAGACCTGAGACTTTTAAATAGAAAAGTTTATAACCCATTATTTTTTTTAATATTTATTTTATTTATTTGAAAGTCAGAGTTACAGAGAGGCAGAGGCAGAGAGAGAGGGAAAGAGAGGTCAACCATCCAAAGGTTCATTCCTCAGATGGCTGCAACGGAACTGTGCTCATCCCAACCCAGGGGCCAGGAGTTTTTCTGGGTCTACCATGTGGATACAGGGGCCCAAGGACTTGAGCCATCTTCTACTGCTTTCCCAGGCCATAGCAGAGAGCTGGATAGGAAGTGAAGCAGCCGGGACTCGAACTGGTGCCCATATGGGATGCTGGCACTGTAGACAGTGACTTTACCCACTACGCCATACTGCCGGCCCCAACTCATTATATATAGATTTATTTATTTTTAACGATTTATTTATTTATTTGAAAGTCTAAGTTACACAGAGAAGGAGAGGCAGAGAAAGAGAGAGAAAGAAAGAGAGAAAGGTGTCTTCCATCCGCTGGTTCACTCCCTAGTTGGTTGCAACGGCCGGAGCCTGGCCGATCCGAAGCAAGAGCTTCCTCAGGGTCTCCCACGTGTGTTCAGGGGCTCAAGGACTTGGGCCATCTTCTACTGCTTTCCCAGGCCATGGCAGAGAGCTAGATAGGAAGAGGAGCAGCCGGTACTTGAATTGGTGCCCTATGTGTTGCCAGCACTGCAGGTGGTGGCTTAACCCGCTACGCCACTGCACCAGCCCCCCAACTTTTTATTTTTTAAAAAAAGTTTTGTGTAGCAAAATCCAAGGAAGTATTAGCATCAAATGCAGCACAAACCAGGAATCTTGAAGAAAGTCCGCCAGTTTTGACAAAAGAACAGCTTTCTTTCTTCTGAAGCACATTCATACAGAGAAGGCACAAAGATCAGGCATTGTGGTGAGTGGGCCGAGTCACTATTTGGAACAGCTGCATCCCACATCTAAGTGCTGGTTTGAGTCCTAGATGCTCTGCTTCTGATCCAGCTTCCTGCTGATGCAGAGAGGTAGAAGATAGTGGCTCAAGTGCTTGGGCCACTGCGAGCCACATGGGAAACCTGGATGGAGTTCCAGACCCCTGGCCTCTGCCTGGCCCAACTCTGGTTATTGCCGGATATTTGGGGCCTGAGTCAGCAGATGGAGAACCTCTGTCTGTCTTCCTCTTTTATTCTGCCTTTCAAGTAAATAAAAATGAAGCTTTTTTTTTTTTATTTGATAGGTAGAGTTATAGACAGTGAGAGAGAGAGACAGAGAGAAAGGTCTTCCTTCCGTTGGTTCACTCCCCAAATGGCCACAACAGCCGGAACTGCGCCGATCCAAAGACAGGAGCCAGGAGCTTCCTCCTGGTCTCCCATGCGGGTGCAGGGGCCCAAGCACTTGGGCCATTCTCCACTGCCCTTCCGGGGCACAGCAGAGAGCTGGACTGGAAGAGGAGCAACCCGGTCTAGAACCTGGCGCCCATATGGGATGCTGACACCACAGGTGGAGGATTAACCAAGTGAGCCATGGTGCTGGCCCCAAAATGAAGCATTTTTTAAAAGGAAGGGGAGAACAGGTGCATAGGAAGTATGGATTTCTCAGAGAAAAGGAGACATGGAAAAGAAACTGCAAGAATCAAGTAACAGTTCTTTTTGTTTCTAAACTAGGGAAGCTGTGGACATGTTTGGAGGCAGAAGAGGAGATGCTGAAGAGGAAAAGGGCTGACAAGGCTGGCTTTGTGGGAATGCAACGGGTGTAGACACCCAAGCGTTTGGTTTAGTGCTCTGTAGTCACTGTTTTGAAGTTCTTCTCAGTTTGTGAACCATGGTCCTGCATTTCCCCTTGGCAGTAGGCAGTCAGATTCTGTAGTGGGTTCTGAGAAATGATCTAGGTGAAAATGCTCTGAAAGGTATAAAACACTAGGTTACAGGCTGGTTAACGTCCCTCTCCCCCATAAATGTCTGCATCCTAACCTGCAGAATCTGTGAATGTTACTCTGTGTGGCAGAAGAGACTGTGCCCATGTGACTAAGGATTCTGAGAGGGAGACATTATCCTGGATCAATGAAATCACAAGGATCCTTATATGGGGAAGATAGTAGAATTAGGGTAAGGAAGGGAAGGCATGTGGCAGCCGAACAGAGAGGGAGGGAGGAGATGTGACCATGTGATTTGAGGTCACAAACCAAGGGAAACAAGCTGGAAAAGGCAAGGAGACGTATGGTCCCCTGGAGCTTCCAGAAAGAAATGCGGCCCTGCAGATCCATTTTGGACCTCTGACCTCTTAGAACTGGGAGGTAATCAGTTTTAAGTCATTCAATCTGTAGTGATTTGTTACAGCAGTGATGAGAAAATAACACACACTAAACAAATGTAAGGTCATGTATTGCTAGTTTTGTAGAAATTAAGGATATTAATATAACTAATAGCAATTAACATTTACTCAGTACTTCCAAAGGCTAGTGCTATAATATCTAACCATATTTAATCCTACTATTTGGGGGATAGAAATGAAGAGTACGTAACTAGAAAGGTTTAGGTTTGGGGTCACTCCAAGTTTTTCTGGGCATTTCTCCCCATTCCAACATTTCATTATAAATTCCTGGCTTTGTCCTATGCTTTAACGTGCATTATATTTGCATGTGTCCATACAGGAGTGCTAGTGGGACGGGACAAGAGAGGATATCACATCTGGGGCGCCAGCCACCTCTACAAGTCGCAGGGGACTTACCCAGGCACCCACAGCAGATGTGAAGCTAAGGAAAAGTGAACGAAACAAAGAAACCTCTTTGACCGCAGGTCGAAAATGCCGCCCCATTCGATTTTAACTCTCATAAGTAGTGGACGCGTCCTGGATCCCGGCGGCTGTGCGATGGCAGCGGACGACGACGCGCTGGGCGGCCACAGGCACCACGCAGGGAGGACCGCAGCTTGTTTCCCGGAGCAACCGCCCGCGTCGCGGCCCTGGGAGCCGGCGCGGGCGCGGGGACAGCCGGGCGGCCGGCAGGAGCGGTTGGCGCCCCGGCTCCCGGCCCTCACCTCCCGGTGTTTTGGAGGCCCGCGTGGTCCCGCCTCATTGGTCGCCGAGGAGCCTCAGGCCTAGGGGAGGAGGAGCGGCCTCCTTAGTTGTAGTTCCCGGGTTTACTCGGCCGCCGGCTTCACTTTCCCAGCACAGCACCCAGGCGACGGCCGGGACCACGACTCCCACAAGGCCCCGCGCTCGGGGGGCGTGGCCGCGGCCCCCAGGAAAGCCGGGGGCGGGGCCGCCTGGAGCATGAAGCGGGGGCGCTCGGCTCTCCTGCCTCACAGCTGCCGCGCGCCGGTGGGGGGAGCGTCCCCCGACTCCCGGCCGGCGTGCAGCCCTCTGACCCTGGACTTTCTCTGCCGCCGGAAACCGTCCGCTCGGGTCGTCGCCGGGGCCGTCCGCCGTTCCTGGCCCTGAGGGGCCCGGCCGACCGCGGCCAGGGTAGAGGTCAACATGAGCTGGGGGCTCCTCTGGGCCGGCGCCGGGCAGGGGGCGGCGGTCGCAGTGCAGCTGTTGGTCACCCTGAGCTGCCTCCCGAGCGTTGTCGAGGCCCAGGTAAGCCTGAGGGATGGCGGGCCGGGGACCCCCCCGGCCGAACGCCCGCGGACGCTGAGAACAGCTGTGGCCGTTCGGCAGGGAGGGCCGGGGCCGGAGCTGAAGTGATTTCTGGAGAGCGGAGAAGCCGGGGGGGGGGGGGGGGGGGTCCAAGACCTGACGGTCAGTGTAGGCGACGCCCGCGAATGGACTGCGGTGTGCCGGGATGGCGACACTCGGGGCAGTGGCAGGCGAAAAAAGAGGAAGGTGGTGAAGGTCTCCTGAGCTGTTTTCTTTTTTATCCTGGTGTTTGAAGCGGCTGGGAGTGTGGCGGGAGATGGCACTGGGATGAAACCCTCGTCTGTCTTGTGAAGAGAGCCGAGGACTCCTGGAAATGGTGACGTCCTCCCCTTCAAGAGCCCGCAGACCCCCGCAGCCCTGCCAGAGCGGAGTGGGTTGGGAGGGGGGCACAAGACCTGACTTCCTTGGACTTCTGGACTAAAGGTTCTTGGGTTTTTCCTCTTGCTCAAGATAGCTTTATTTTTACCCAACTGTGATGTGTCTGCTAAGTGGCAACAGCAGGTGAGCCCAGGTAGGAGCCGAGGCTCTGGCTTTCAGTAGTGAGGTGCCAGCTGGAGAGTAAACGGTGGAGTTTGGGGTTTGTCTTGGTGAAGCAGATCTTGACAGAAGTGTTCTCTGTATGCTAGGAATCAGGGTTAGCTGACCGGAGCCTTTTGCCCTAAGAGCGGTGTTTGCTGCTGTTTTAATTCAGTACAATTGAACAGACTGTTAGGTGATGCTGTGTCTCTGCACCTGCTGCAAAGTAACAGCACTGTTAAAAGAAAAAAAAAATGCTCTCAGGTGGCCTGATAATGAGGGGGGATGACATTTGAAGCAATTAATGCTCATTGCTACCAAAGTGGAAGGTAAGTGTAGCCACGTAAACATGTTTGTCTGACTTGATTCACTCTTTTTCAAGGTTTTATGGTGCCCTGTGCACTAACTCCAAGAATACGTGAATATTCCGTTTGTATCCAAGTTTGAATATTATTTTATTTGAAAGGGAGAGAGACGGATATCTCCCACCTAGTGGTTCACTCTGCAAATACCTGGGACTGCTGTACTAATTCCTGTCTCCCATGTGGGTACAAGGACCCAGGTACTTGACCCATCACCTGTTGCTTCCCCAAATGCACAGTAGCAGGAAGCTGGAATGAAAAAGCAGAGCTGGGACTCCAGTCTAGGCACTCCTATGTGGAATGTGGGCATCCTAAGCAGTAGCTGTGCCCAACACCAGCCCCTGATTATTTTTTAAATGAATGATTTGATAAAAGGGGCAAACTTTTGGTGTTGGGAGCACGCTAAAAATGCAGATTCTTTGACTGTAGCTCCAGATATACTGGTTGAGTGAATCTGGAATGTGACCCAGGAACCAACATTTTAAACAAGCCCTGCCAGTAACTGTAGTGCAGTTATCCTTTTTACTATTTCTTGGACCCCCAACTGGAAAACACAAATAGTGGAAATCTAGACATATCTATCAGACTTAGGAAAGGTAAGTTTCCAGATTCTCTTGCAAAATTATTTTCTAGTGAGTAGTTGGGTTTTGGTTTTTGACTGGAATTTGTATTTAGATATTATTCTAAATGAAATTTCTCATTTCCTACTACAAATCATACATTGAATGCTTTATAGTCAATCTAGAAGCTTTGTTTTAGATTTCTTTACCCTTAATTATGTATAATTAATGTTTCATATTCCCTCGTATACTTTTAATTTTGCTATGTCCAAATGAATATACTGGAGTATAGTTTAACAATTAAAGATTTGTACACATTCAAAATAGTGTTGTGCCATTCCTATCCTTTAAAGTGAAAGTATTTGTTTTTTGTTTCTGATGGTACTTTTTTTTTTTTTTAAGGATTTTATTTACTTGAGTGGTGGAGTTACGGAGAGAAAGAGGGAGAGACAGAAAGGTCTTCCGTCTGCTGGTTCACTCTCCAAATGACCGCAATGGCTGGAGCTGGGGCAATATGAAGCCAGGAGCTTCTTCCAGGTCTTCCATGTGGATGTAGGGGCCCAGGACTTGGGCCATCTTTTACTGCTTTCCCAGGCCATAACAGCAGGGTTGGAAGAGAAGCAGCCAGGATTCAAACTGGTGCCCATATGGGATGCCAGTGCTGCAGGCAGAGGCTTAACCTATTACACCACAGTGCTGGCCCCTCCAGTAGTACTTTCTATTATAGTGTTTGATCATCTTTTAGGTGGTACTTTAATCTGTAACATACTTGAAAATACTTAACTTGATAAATCTCTTAGAAGTGGTGCCATTCCCAGGAGGCCAGTGGAGGATGGCTCAAGTGCTTGGGCCCCTGCACCCGCATGGGAGACTGGGAGGAAGCACCTGGCTCCTGGCTTCGGATTGGCGCAGTGCCGGCCGTAGCGGCCATTTGGGGAGTGAACAAACAGAAGGAAGACCTTTCTCTGTCTCTCTCATTGTCTATAACTCTACCTGTCAAATAAATAACAAATAAATAAATAAAGTGGTGCCATTGAGGTAAACTGATGTTAGATGAGAGTGATGTTAAAGTAGAATCAGAATGCAGACCTCATTCTGGTCTAAACTGTGTATTTGCTCCTCTGTAGTATATAAAAGCAGAAGGAGATCAGGAAAATAAAAAGTAGAACTAAGCCACTTCTACATACTAAATTGGTAGAAAAACAGTAAAGATAAAGAGAAGTCTACTTTTCGAAAAATACTTCTATTCATAGGAAATCAAAGTCATTTAAGGAAACAAATGTATTTCCTTGCAGTAAAAGCAGAAAAACACGTTTTTGAGCATAAACATTATGCATTGGTGTATCATTTTTCATATAAATAAAATGCAAATGTGCTTTGTAGTATGGTTAAGCTTTAGGAACTAAAGGCATAGTGCATACAAGTGATTTAACAATCTTCCTGTAAAAAATAATGTCAAATACAGTTTAAATCTTTCTAAATACACATCTGAGGTGGAATGAAGTCAAGGACTACATAGACACCTACACCCCACCCCCTAACAAATGGAAAGCCAGCAATTTGGGATTCAAATAAAGTTATACCAGTTCATCACCTGAGGGTTTTTCCCAAACCCGGAAGACTGTGAGCTTCTGCTTTAACAGCTGGCTGCATAGGGTGGAGTGGGCAAAAAATAACACCATATCTGTCCCAAGAGGAAACTAATAAGAGATCCTGCCATGAAGCTTTAACTCCAAAGAGCTAGATACTCAATGTCAGGGTAAATGTGAATGAATCCCAATGATAGTAAGCTGAAAGTAAATAAAGTTGCTGGGGGGTGGGAAAGAAACTCCATTGAGAATTTATAAACATGAACCAGCCCTTACTCAGGGTTACAGGCCAAAATCTTGCTACTTGTGCTGGGAAAAACACCATGTGGAAAATAAAATTTATAACAACAAGCAGTCCCAGGTTTATATAGCTCAGGCTACTGTTAGAAGCAAATGTCCATCCCCTCCGGGGGAGTTTATTCAGCTCAAGCCTTAAAGCATTCTTGAAGGTAAAGTACCTAAAAGAATAAACAACTAACAGTAAAAACAAAGCAGAACAAAATAAAACCAAGGAAACAAAATCACAAAACACATAAGGAGACAAGGCCAACTTAGGACTTTTTGGTTTTATGAGGTTGTGAAAGTGATCTGCATTCAATAGAAACCATGCTTGAAGCTTTGAATTTTGATCCTTTCCGGAGCAAGTGATACATGGTGAGACTCCTGTGATGTTGGGCAATGGTAGAGAGCTACTTTTCCTAGTCAGCCATGCATTCACAAGTGGGAGACAGCTGATAGGTTGGTGTGCTGTGTTGCTAAGCTATGTCATTTAGTAGGTTGGGTGTGTTAAATGCACTTTAAACTCATGTTTTCATAGCATGGATAGGCTTATTGGGACATAACTCCCTCCTAAGTGAGGAGCATGTTTATTAGAAACAGAAGACAGGAACAGACATGTAATTATCTTAGATTCTGAAATTCTCAAATAATGTCACTATATTGTGTAAAAGAAGCTTGAAAGTGTGAAAAGAGAATAAGATTTTAAAGAATGAAAATTTTAGAAGTGGAATTAAAAACTCAGTGGATGGATCAAATAACTGATTGTACTCAGCTGAAAAAAATTATTAGACAACCATCTCATGTCTTTTTTTTCTATATAATACTTTGTGACATCCTCTTCTATCAGGTTCATACCTCACTAATAAAATTGAAGCACAGAAGAGAGTAAGCCACATGTATTCACTTACTCATCTGTTCTTACATATTTTTGAATTCCTGTTGATTACCATAGATGAACTGTTTGTGCTCTTATCAAAAGACAGTCCTTCCTAGTACACAAGGGGCCTTCAGGGAATTCACAGGAGATGTGTAGTTTGAAAAAATTCTGCTTGGACTTAAAATGGTTTTTTTTGGTACCAAGATAGACATCTTTAAGTTTATAAAAAATTTTTTATTTGAGAGGCAAAGAGATGACAAGACAGAGAGTGATCCCATGCTCTGGCTCACTCCTCAAATACTAGCAGAAAGGACTGTTGTTGGCTGAGCCAGGAGCTGGGAACTTAGTCTAGGTCTCCCATGTGGGTGCCAGGTACCCAACTACTCGAGCCATTACCTGCTGCCTCCCAGGTGCGCATTAGTAGGAAACTCGAATCAGGAGTTGAGCTGAAACTGGATCTCAGACACTGTGATATAGATGTGGGTATCCCAACTGCTAGGCACCAAATGCCCAAGCCCACATTTATCTTTTAATTTCATTTTTCCATAAACTTTTTGAAGTCCCCTGGTATTAGGTTCCATTCTTCTTTTCTCATTCAAGGGCATGACCCCAGAAATCTTCCCTCTCTCGTATCATCATTTTGTCCTGTAAGACACTGTTACTGTTGTCATAAAACATACTGTTAATTGTACTATTTAATGTATTCATCTGTTTCCCACTCTGTTTCTAAGGTTTCTGCTAAAGTGTCCCTATAACT